TTTTTATAAAAAAAATATACTTCTTAAAAAAATTTAATGTATTATTAATTTAAATATTTTAATTTTGTATTGATTAAATAAAATAAAATATAACTTTTTCAATTTATAATATTTTATTATTATTTTTATTATTATTATTATTATTATTATTATTATTATTTTTATTTTACTATTATTATTTATTTTATTTATAATCAATTTATTTTTATATATATTAATAATTAATTTTTTTTTTTTATTATTTTTAAATACTTTTTAAATTATTTTTATCTAATTTTTTGTATTTTTTTTCTATAGATTTTATTAATTTATTTTATTAATATAATAATTTTTTTTGTGTATTTTCATTATTATAATTTAATTTAATTTAATTTTTTTATATAATATCTTTTTTAAATTTTATTTATTAATTTTATCATTTTTTTTGAATTATATATTATATATAGTTATATAAAATTTTCAAATTTTAATGTATATAAATTTTTACAATAATTTTTTTTTTTAATTTTTTTTAAAAAAATATATTATTACATTGAATGTACAATTTATATTTATATTTATTTATTTATTTTTAATAAACCATATTGAAAATATATTAAATACAATATTATAAAATATTATTATATTTTATTTTCACAATATTTTATTTTAAAAATATTTCTTATATAAATTAAATTTTCTTATTTTATTTTAATAGTTTTTATATTAATAGATATAATTGTTATTAATTAATTAACATTCTTTAAAATTTAAAATTATAATTTATATGAACAATCGCATTATATTTTACAATTATTTACATATGTTTTATATGATTTCTTCGCAATATCTTAGCTAATACATTTATTTCATATATTTTGAAATCATTTTTATTTTTTATTTTAAGATAATATTTTCAATATTTATTCTGTAATTTTGAAAATTCTATAAAATTTTTTAGATAAAAAATAATGTTTTTTTACATTTAAAATTTATGTTTAATAGATTTTTTATTTTCTAAAATTATTATGCACATTTTCAAAATTTAATAATATTATTTATTAATTAAAAAAATTAATTTCGTAATTTACTTTTTATAATATTATAGCTTTATTTCGTAACTTATTTAGATTATAATTCTTTAAATTTTTTGTTAAGATTATATATTTTTATATATTTTAATATAAAATTAAATGTTTTAAATAATTATTAAAAATAAAATATTAAATTATAAATAATAAAAACTAAATTGAAATGGAATATATAATTTAATAATTTATATCTAAAACAATAAATTTTTTCTAATTTTTTTGTCAAAAAATAAAATTATATAATTTAACATAAAGAAAAAATAAAAATTAATTATTTTATAACTAATAACTTTCAAAAAAATAAAATATTTTTAATATAAAAAGGGAAAATTAACAAAATCAACCTTTAACATCACCAGTTAATGGCCTAAAAGCCAAACCAATTACATAAGAAGCTCCTGCCGCAATAATCCCTATTAAAAGTACTTCTAACCCACTAATCCACCATTTCATATGAGTAAACATAGATTTAGCATATCCCAATAAGAATAAGAAAAGACCAGTAACTGCAGTTGAAATATAAAAAATATTCGGATTATTTCCATCTATTCCTGCAATTTCTGCTACAATAAAAGGAATAATAGGTACTAAACCAAAAAGCGCAAATGAAAAAAAAGTCACAATAGCATTTTTGATTGGATTTTCGTCGTCTGAAGGGAGCATTCCTAGTTCTTCTACCATCATGGCATCTACCCAAACTTTTTTATTTTTGGATAAAATATCGATTATCGTTTTTGAGTCTTCAGCACTTAATCCTTTTTTTCATAAAGTTCTAACATTTCCTATTTTTCGCCTTCTGGGTTATTATCTACTTCCCATTCTTCCCTCATTCGCTCTTTCCTTTGAAATTACATTTCACTTTTGGTTGATAAATAGTCACCTAAAGCCATACTTAAACCATCGCCTATTAAATTTGCTATTCCTAATGCTAATACTACTACATTTGCTAAACTTGCGCCTGCAACGCCCATTACAACTGAATATGTGGTAATCATGCCATCTAAACCACCATATACTGCACTTTTTATATATGTTCCAGATTGATTGTGGTCTTCTATTTATTATGTTAGAGGACGCTCCTCGTTTTCTATCGTATTGTTTCGGTGAGCGATTTTCATTTGTTCAACGTTTCCCATTTCATATGCACGCCTGGCTTAGTCTAAATTCCTTGTGAGCATTTTTTGTTTTTTTTTTTTATATTTTTATTTGTTTGTTTTTTTTTAGATTGTTTATAAAAAATTCGATTAATATATTGGTAAAATCTTAATTTTTTATTTTTTTCTTCTTTATATTAATTATCATTAATTTAATATTTTAAAATATCTATTTATAAAAATAAATTTAAAATTTATTCTTTATATATATATAATATATATTTTTATATTATTTTAATTTCATCAATTTTAAGGAATAACTGCAATACATTCGATTTCTACTTTAGCTTTTTTTGGAAGGCCTTCTACTGCAATACATGCACGAGCAGGTTTATTTTCAAAATTGAAATATTTTGCATATACTTAATTGAATAATAAGAAATTATCCATATTCTATTTAAAGATATATAATAATTATTTTTAATTTTACATCTAAAAAAACATTGCATTTGATAACATGGTCTAAGTCTGAACCAGCTTCAGTTAAAATACTTTGTATATTTTTTAGAACCTTTTTTTTAGAAAAATAATTAAATGGAATTTATATTAAGAATTTTTCGAAATAAAATTATATTGAATTTTATGTTTATTTAAAATTAAATTAAAAAAAAAAAAATTATTTTAAAATTAATAAATATTTTTATTAAATATATTTATATATGCTTAAAAATTAATAGATTAAATGATATAAAATAATAATTAATATTATTTATTTATACTTATAATTGTATATTTATATATTAATTTTATTTTATTTTATTTGTTTTATTTTATTTACTTATTCTGTTTATAGCTATACATCATCATTATGAAGGAATTCACTTGTCTTTATAAATATATTATTTTTCTGAAATTAATATAAAATTTTAATAAATTACTTCTGGATTAATAGATAATTAACCCGAAACATATAATAATTAAGCACTGGATAATATAACTTTTCCTTATGAATAAGGTCCTATCGCTTTTGGTGCTTTATCAGTATTGATCGTTTAAATCAATTCATTTGGTTTAATTTTTTTAACAGTTTTATCTTCTTACATGTCTTTATTTTATTATATATATAATTTTACAAAAAATAAATTCTTGAAACAAAAATTAATTATCAAAAAAATAAAAATAAAATAAAAGCTAAATAATATCTATAAATCAATTCTAATCTTTAATTCAAATTTTATCTTTTTAAATTTATTTCTCAACTAATTTTTAATCTAAAGTGTTTAATTATTTTTCGTCTTCATCTTAGAAATCATTTCTATTATTATATTATAGACAATAATCATCACTTAATTCAAGTTTTCCTAATTAGAATTCCTTTATAATTTTTTTATTATTCGTTCCAATCTTATTTAAAAGTAATAGATCCAGCTCTTTTTAAATGTGTTTTTTCGTTTGTAATCATAAATATAATATTTTTCTAATTTTCAATTTTCTAAATTAAATATATTTATTTAATTTAAATTTTTCCATTTTTAAACTCAAAAGTTTCTAATTCATCTAAAAATTCTAATAATAGGGTTTTTAATTTTTCTATATCGTTAATTTTTAAAATTTCGCAGACTTTTCCAATAATTTGAGCACTTTTAACCGTAAAATAATTATTGTTTATTTTTTTATTTTATTCTATATCAAAAAAAGAAAAAGATGATGCATTTTTAAATATTTTCTTGACAAAATGACTTTATTTTTATATTTTTATTATTATTATTATTAGGAGATACTGAAAACATAATGCAATATATTTCCTTGAATCAAATGAGGAATTTTATATGTTATTGATTCACTCTTTATATTTTCGATAAAATATTTTTTGGATTTGAAAATTTCCGAAATCAAATTAAATATTTATATTTGCCTGAAAAAAACATTAATTATGTCTAAAAAAATGAAGTATTTATAAATATTACTTTTTAGAATGGTCATTTTTAATTATTTCTTTATTTTTTTTATAAAAACTCAATCAAAAATAAAATAGGATATTGTTTATTTTTCTCATTTCTTTTTTTTTTCATGTAAAATCATGATTTTTTTCATAGTCAAATGTATTTATACTAAAATAATTATTTTTAATTTAATTATTAGTTTATTCTTTATAATTATATTCGGATAATCATATTTTCAATTTGAAAATAAAAATACATGTCTTTATTCTCTTTTTTCCTATTAAATAAATAAATAGATAAAGTATTTCTCTATTATGTATTTGTAGAGGAAAAAATATTTATATTTCTAATAATTTCTTTCATTTTTTCTTTATTTTCTTAAGAATCTCTTAATAAACACGCATCTTATTTTTGAATTCCTGGAAAATTTTATTATGCTTACCCAGACATCTTTATTTAGTATTTATAGTATATACCTTAGACTTTCGCGAACTAAACGTATTTTGCTTTTTCTTCGCTCATACTTGCGCTATTATCTCTATTATATATAAAAGATCTATTGGGGTTCTCTAACTTATATTTTTATGATCATTTAGGTATTTATTTATAATAAAACAGGATATAAATTATTTTTAATCTCCATATATTTTTAGATAATTAGATCTGAATCTATATGATCTTCTTCATTTAAAAATTATTTCTTTATTAATGTTAGTCTGAGTTTTTATAGTTTATATAATTAAGTTTAATAAAAAGTTTATTTAATTTTTTATTTTTTTATATGATAAATAAAATTTAGAATTTTTATAGTTTTTTTCAATTAAAAAAAAATACTAAATAAATTCAAATAAAATAAAAAAATTATATCAAAAAATGCATAAATTCAATAAATTTAACAAGCAGTACATTTTCCATTTTTCGGTGTGGAAAGTACAATCTAATTACCTTCTGTATGAATAATCCCTTACCCATTAAAAGATTTCAAATCAGCAGATAGCTCTTCAAGAGTAGCCTATTATTTCATCATCCAAACTTTAACCATTTTATCAGAACCGCCTGAGACTATACTTTTTCCATCGTTCATATAAATTATAGACAAAACGAAATTTTCATTCTCTTTAATAGAAATAATTTACTCCCTTCTTTCCAAATCCCAGAGAATAATTTATCCATCCCATCCTCCTGAGGCAAAAATAGACCCCGAATTTAAAAGCAAAAGACAAGAAATTGCCCCATGATGTCCGCTAAGTTTATTCAAATGTTCCCCAGTTTCTAAATTGAGAATATTTATATAAGAATCATCACCTCCAGAAATTAATTTTTGCTAATCCTTCATATAAACCAATGCCTTTACGGCTCCATTATGTAAAGGTTGTAAATTTAAGCATTTGTTTTCAGTATAATTATATATACCAATTACTCCTTTAGCTGTCCCACAAGCAAGAGTATCCCCATTTAATTTTTCTAAGCTCAAAATAGTATCCGAGCATTCATTTAATTACCTAATTACTTTTTTTTAAGATATAGATACTATATATATTATCTTCTCCCCTCCTCCTGATGCGAATAGATCTTCGTCTAATTTCAATAAAGCTCTTACTGGTTTATCATGATGATAAAAAGCTTAAATTTAACTCCCTTTTTCCCAATCCCAAAGCCTTATTGTTTTATCGTTTCCACCACTTAATAATTTGCATTCTTCTAAATGAATTAATGCATTTATAGGCCCTATATGACCTTCAATACAAACTAATTCGGAATCTGTTTATATATCAAAAACCTTTTTTAAAAAGTTTTTTTTTTTTTAATAAAAATTTTTACACGAATTGTAGAATCAGAAGAACATGTAGCAAATATCTTATTACTATCTAAATATAAAACTTTATTAATCCAATCTTTGTGTTCGTAAAATTTATTTGAAATAGATAAGGCTTAAATACATTACTATTCGAAAGGAATATTAGTTGCTTATTTCAATTAAAGTAAAGGATTTTATTCAATTATTTATAATATTTATTTATATTAATTGTGAAAGTTTTCTTATTTTATTAATATTTTGTCTTTTTCTTAATCTAATTTGGATTAAATTTCTTTTATTTCATTTTCTATATTTGATATTATTGTTTTTTGAAAATTCTGATATTATTTTAATTATTAATCGAAAGGGTCTTAGTTAAAAAGTCGAATTTTCGTGAGCTTTTTTTATTCTGTATATAATATGTTCTATAATTAATGGTAGAATTTGCGGATTTCTGCTTTATATTACTTTAACTTTTCGTCTAAATATACTTAAATTTTTCCTTAAAGATCGAATATTAAATTTTCAATATGATCTGTTATATTTATTTGTTCTTGTTTTATTAACTTTATTTAATTATTTAGTTTATCCTTTAACTTTTCATAAGCTTTTTACATTAAAATTATATTATTTTTCTCATCATATACTTCAGAATATTTAAGTATATATTCTTAATGCATTTTTGAATGGTTTTTTATGCATTCAATACATAATTTTGAGTTATTACAAGGTTAATGTACACATATATGTGTAATATTTTATTTATGGATTTAACAATACATGTTGTTTATATTTTAATTTAATTTCTTCTTTTTTTTTTTTAATAATTATTATACTTTTTTAATTTTTTTTTCAAAGTTTATTTATTTGTTAAAAATATAGTTGTTGCTTTTATTAACAAAATAAATTATTTTGTTTATTTATTTATAAATTATTATTTTTTTGTAATAAAAAAGAAAATATATATATTCAATAAAATAGAACCTAAAGTTAAATTTTATTAAGATCTAGAAAAATTATAAAGAATTTTTTTTTTCAAATTTGAATAAAAATTTATAATAATAGGCTAAATAATAATTAGAAAACATCTATTAATATACATAATAAATAAAAGAAAATAATAAACTAATATCTACCCCAAAGTAAAATATATAAAAAATAAAAATAAATACTTAATAACCAAGAAATAGAAAATACTTTCTAAAACTAAACAAAACAACTAGTATGCATTCCAAATATATAATATCATCCATAAATAATTTATTCATTTTATAAATATAACCATAATTTAAGACATTTAGAAATAATTAGTCCTCTTAAAAAGCTAATTTTAAAACTTTCAAATAAAATAAAATACCTAAATTATGTAAATTTATAACAAAAAAACTTTTTTAACTAAAAGATAGAAATTTTAATATTATAGGAGATAATTCTTTTATTATTATTGGTCACTCAAAAAAAAATTAGGAAAAATAAGAAAAATTAAAATTTAATAAGACCAAAAAAACTTTATTTAAAAAAAATAAACATAGTCTAAAATTAAATTACTTCTTAAAAAAAAAAATAGTTTATACATATTTCAGTAATTTTAAACAGTTAATATATATGTATATAAATTTATTTTATCGAATTTTATATTGATAGTTTTTTCATACTGTAATATTTAATAATACTTAATAAATACATTTTAATATAATAATATGCAAATTTATAAGAATTATAGCATTTTTTAAACATTTATTCATCAAATAAAACATATTATATTGTGATTTTATGAAAAAGATTAATAATATGAGATTAAAATATACATAAATAAATTTTATTAGAATTAATGTTGATTTAATGCTTTTTTTATTGAAAATAAATATTACATTTAAAACATTTTTATTTTTTCAGTATTTTTTATTTATTAACAAATTCAAAAAAAAAAAAATTAGTTAAAATTACTATGTAAATATAAAATATAATTCTAGTTAAATAGTTTTTAGTAATTAAAAACAATGAATATACACAGGTAAATATTCTTATAAACTAAATAAACCCCAATTAAATAAATGATAGTTTATTATATATATATATATATGTATATATTTATATATATAAATAAATATATATA